ACTTGAGGCCATTTCCTCTCGTCCTATCGCTTGTTACTTGGCAGAAGAGACCAACCCCCACCTCGCTACAACCTCCTTTCAGGTAGTTGTAGAGCACGATGAGGTCTCCCCTCAGCCTCCTCTTCTCCAGGCTAAACAGCCCCAGTTTCCTCAGTCGCTCCTCATAAGACTTGTTCTCCAAACCCTTCACCAGCTTCGTTGCCCTTCTCTGGACACGCTCCAGCACCTCAGTGTCCTTCTTGTAGTGAGGGGCCCAAAACTGAACACAAGGAGACATTGAGTATAGGCACATACAATGCAATGTGTCTTTAATAGGTCAGAGGAATTCACATTTCTTGACAAATTGAAAAGTCAATAGTAATAGTAGGCTGTCAAGGTAATAGTAGGCTTTGTGCTCCTTTCAGGGAAAATGAGTAACAAATATTTTAGTGCTGACTGACAGATTTTTATGAGTTTAACATGTAGAAGGCTGAAGGACAGAAAAAAACTGACAAGACTTTTCCACTGAGTTTGTATGTCCTGTTGATGGAAAGTATAGGCTTTTTATGTGTAGAAATATTTCCTTATAAATAGAAAGCTGAACATGAAATTGTCACTAGCTATTTTATAGAAAATTGAACCAATTTTGAGTGATGATCAAATTGGATAGCAAATGAGTCTAACTACATTTAATACCCTCAGAGAGTGTACAAGGTTGTAATGTTCATGGAATATTGTAAACTATAAATTATTATAAAAAATTGGTTTTTTTGAGCTTGTGTGAACAGTTAGAGAAGCAGCTTGCCTCAGTATAAACGAGGCAGAATTTAACCTGTGCTTTAAGATCACCTAAAAGCCGCTATTGGGCATCTTGTAGCAAACACATTTATGAATGTTGTTACAGTGAAATCCTCTTATAGGAAATAATTTCACTACAAGTTCAGTCATTTTCTTGTAATTAGCCTTGCCTGCTGTAATCATAATTTACACATTGTGATACAGTGAAACAATTTAATGTATCTGCTTCTAAGCTAACTATAGACAATTTCCTTTCCTGTTACATTAAAATATGCTTTTTTCATTCTTGCATAAAATACTATTTTTAATTATTACACAAACAATGTATAATAACAAAATGGGGATGCATATATTCAGCTACACTTTCTTTGCCTTTTTTTGGTTTATTATTAGTCCTAGTTAAAAGCTCCCAACTGCAGTGTTGTTTTCTAATTCTCATTAACATCTATATGTTTAAATGTAAGTGAAATTTTTATTAGAATCCAACCATGGAATGTATTTGGTACGAGTTATTCCAGCTGCAAGTATTGGAAGATGATGACATTGTGGTACTGATAAAATTGGATGTCAGGGGCCCACACCTTATTCATAAATAGACCAATTAAATTGTGTGTATGGAAAGACCTTCTTACTATTTTTTCCCAAGATAAATTCTTCAGGTAAAAAGGAACAAATATAGCACAGCAGACTGTAATTGTCCTCAAAATCCTCGTTCTTGCTGAATATTACTTAGGGCAGAGAGACAAAGACAGGACTTTATGAAAGGGGAATTGTGCATTAAATAATACAGTGCAGGGTTTCACTTAATTAAAAGTACAGGCTGAAGATTATTGCATCCAGATCTCAGAAACAGTCATTATTTTAATTTGGGGAAAAAAAAAAAAAATCAAGAAAGATTTTGCTATAGCTGTTTATCAGTAATAGACAAAATGAAAAAAAATGAGAAAAAAATTGCATTTATCTTGCCCCAAATTAATATCTTTTTATTTCACTAGGAAGCTGAAAGTGTCCAGTTCAAGTCCTCAAGGAATAACTTATATTGGGGTTTTTTTGAGTGGTTTCTTGGGAAGTGGTGCAATTTCATTGCAGGATATTCAAAACCAACAGTATTTTACACAAGCATACAAGGAAATATAATGGGCAGCATTTGGCCTTCAGGTGTGTGTTTGTGGAAGAACTGAACTTGAAAAATCTCTGAGAAGGCTTTTCATAAGGTTTCCCTTATGGAAGGAAAGAAGGGTTAGCATGAGTGAGACAGGTTTGCATCTTTGTAGGCATACAGTGCAGATATATTGAAGCATAACTAGAGCTTGGTTCTTGATGGAATTCTGGGATTCTGACACATCATTCTTTTTCAAAATGAAACAAAGCTAAATTTGTTGAAATATGTGGAATTAGTTTTCTTACCAAACCACTTAGAATTTGGTTGAAACATTTTAACACTATTGAATTATTTTATGCTGGATTTTTTTTTTAATTGGTAATACTATAATAAACATTAAAAGCAAAAGTAGATTTAACATCAAAAAGCTAAATAAGACATTAATGTAGATGTATAGATTTTTACAGCTGCTTAGGTCTTCCATGGCAGAAAGGTGAAGAGTATTTACCACAGTGGAAAAATGACCTACAAACTCAGCAGGATTGACATAATTTTCCTTTTCCTATTAATCAGATTTTCAAGATGAAGGATTACGTTGCATTGCACAGAAATAGGATACCAATCAAATAAGTCTGTAATCTGAGACATTTGTACTACTTTAATGAAGGTGTTAGCAGTCCTTTTATGTTTATTAGTATGAAGTCTTTTTAAAAATTTTCCTCCTCAAAAAGCTTACTTAATACCTAAATAAGCACTAATATCCTTTTAAATTGGTTTTAATTTAATGAAAATTTGCTTGTTAAAACCTTGTTTAGAGTCTCATTTATCATGTAACATGTGCATCCTTTTTTTCCTCAACTTTGCTAAAATGTCTCTATTTTAACCTGCAACAGTTAGTATCACAGACTAATTCATACAGAAAGGTTCATCACTTAATAGACCTTGGTAGTTGTATTTTGAGAGACATTAAAGGTATTTTTGTATAATTAATGATTTTGAGCCTATTGCATTGCTATGTATTGACATCACACCAGGCATCACATTCCTTATTCCCATGGGTTTGTTCATATTTTCAAATTACTTTTGTTACCCATGTCAATACCCTCTGTTTCAGCTTTAGTTCATGTGCTGCGAAGCTGCAGAAATGAATCCAAAGTTCAAGGCAAGAACATACAGACATGGTCTGAATGCATGTGTTTTCCATTTTGAGGTGTGTTTTTCACTGTGTTGGGAATTGTAGGGTGTCTCTCACTTGTTAGTTGTTGGTCCAAATCTAGTCCACACCAATAGGGAGAGAGAGATAACTGCATCTCGTGGAGAAGTCTATGTAAAATAAGTTGCTGATCTTTTTGAACAAATGTTTTTACCATACCAGTTGTTGTCACAACAATGGACAATGTCAGAAAAGGAATGCACTGAACTACACAGACCAAAATATGTCTACTCCTGCTTACTGTACTTCAAAGAAGGATAAAGCAGCATGGTGGGACACTGTGAGGGAATTAGAATTGCTGCTGTTTGTGAAAGATCTGTGAATAACCAGATTACTTCTTTTGGGAAAACTTCCAAAACAGCATCTTTCACTAGCAATAATTTCACTAAAAAGAAACAACAAATGTGAGGTTAATGTTCTTTAAGCATGCTGAAAATAAAAGAACCTACCCTGTAATCTTTTTGTGCCATATGCACACTTCAGAGTGTTTCCATGAAAAAATTTCTGTCTTATTTTTAAATGTCTTTCTGTCTGCTTTACCAGACATTTGATATAAATCTGTGGAAGGGAATGCTAAATAAATTTCAAAAAGGTTCTTCTCCTATTTAATTCATTACCAGAAAAAGTGGAGGAAATATGCTACCTAAGGCATGGGAAATTGCAGTATATTATCAGATGCTCCTTTTGTTTGGAACAGTGTAATAAGGCACCAATTTTAAGTGTTGACAAGCACAGCAGGGATAAAGTACACTGTGTAACAGTTTTTTACTATTTTATAGTTTTCTCTATAAAAACACAGCAAAAACAAAGAAGCAACTAAACACCAAAGCAGTAGTTGCAAGACAGGAAGTGGTGAAATGATGTTTTTCTCTTGATGCTCTTAAAGTAAAACTCCTTTCCATTTGGGCTGTCTAGACTGATGCACCTTTCAATACTTCTATAACCTAAAGAAAATAGTGGGACTGAATACTGTAATAGCATTTATCACAGGTAAAAAAAAAAGTAGGAAAAAAAGCATTGTTCCTGAAGGTTTAATCCCTAAATTGAATGTATAATTTGGGTCAGTACACTAGAAGCACAAGTCAGTTCAGTATGAATAGTTGAAAAAAGACATAGGAGTCAAATAGACAATCAGTTCCAATTAGCTAAGTATGCTTCCAAGTGGTGCAATGCAGACAAAATATCTATATGCAAAGTTGTACTGATCCAACTGAATCCATTTTAAAGCACCTTAGTTTTAAAGTACCTAGCTCAATTAAGCGTCAGTAATGTTTCTGACTGTGGCTTGAAATTCTGAAGTATGATCTTCCTTTTTAAAGCATCACTTCATTCTGTCAGTGACACTAGGAAGGTTCATGGTCAGGTAAGGCAGAGACGTGCTTTGAACAGACTTGTGTTTTTGTGTGGGAAATCAGGGAAAATGTATAATGGAGAGTGTCAAGGATGATAGCATGCTCACTGTAAGGGAGAGTAATTTGATTTAATTGATTACCAGACAGCTCTCAGCAGAAATTGTCTCACTGGAGGCAGTTATTGTCTAGGCAAAAATTTTATTTGTTCTTGGTTAAGTAGTTGGACTTAAGGGGCTGTTTGTCATGGGAGTGTGGTCTTACCCAGCAGAAGTTTCTTGATTTTATGTTACCCGGACCATTTTTCCCAGCAGATACACTAGTAACTATTACTTCTGCCTGTGAAATTGTGTCAAAGAATGTAGAATGCCACCACTGAAAACTCTGTCGCTAAAACCATAATTTGCTGAGAAATCCTTCCTAGTAGAAATACTGTTTTAAATGGTGATAACTTTCAGGCCTATAAATGAGATACATGTTTTCCAGTATTTATATTATTATTGTGCAGTTATATTACTTTGCTATGTGTAGTTGATTAAAATGGAATTTTTCCTGTTAGGAATGGAATTCCACTGTGGAACAACTGGAAGCTGAAGCACTTAAGATCTTGCTTTCAGAGGACTATACAGAAAAAGAACATCTAAAGCTTTCAAATCAGAAAATCTGTCTGTTGCAAGAAGAAGTGTGCTTCCATATGGAAGAAAGGAAAGCGCTGCTACAGGAGGCCAATGACTTTTTTCATACTGCTGGCAAGGTTGGTAGGAAGCCAAGTCTGTAACAATTAACCTGATAATACAACTGTCAGTGTGCTCTTGAAGGCTGATATACGTGGAATTATGCAAACAGAGTTTGCTAAACAATTTGGAATAGAAAATTACAAATCTGATTACCCTTTAATATGACCTTTCGCCTCAAACTTCTATACAAAATGGCAAATGCATTTTAATTTTTTTTTTTTAAAAGTATATTGAGAAGAACACTTGGTTTCCAAAATAAGGCATTTGGGAAATATTATCTGCCGAAAAATTGGACTTCAAGATCATGGGCTCTGTCACGATGGCATAATGCTGTATGAAGATACAGGAGCTGCTCTAAAATACGCAAACTGTTACAGGCTAGTACGGATACCAGAAACGATGTCTCTACTTGCAGAGGTCTCCACAGGGGCTAATTAATAATCAGACATGAGAAAAATCAAGGGCAATATACAATTCCTCATACCAGGCACGTCATATACTACATGGTCTAGACATGATGTAACACCAAAGTGGCCAGTTAAAAAAGCACAAAACTCCCTCAGTCACAGCACAAATGATGAATTAAGGCCCACACCTATACTGAGGTCAGCAAGATAACATGTAGGCAATAATTTCCATCACTGATGTGCTCATGTGGAGAAGCAGTGATTCAGATTCTAGAATTAGATTCTTGCAGCTCTCGCAGGAAAGGGCTAAAAGGGGCTTATCTGTCTACTGAATTCTATACATTGCTTGTTTTGTGTGGGTTGTGTTTAGGTACAAGAAGCCCTGACTAGTACATTTGTTTAATTTTCTGTCTCTTCCTAATCTTATGTGATGAAAATAGGTAAATCATTGATGACCAAAAAAAGGAATATTTTAAAACTAAATTTTTACTTTTTCAAACATCAAGTCCAGTAATAACTACTTGTATGAAAATTACTTTCATAAATTTGGTCATTGATTTTTGTTACATCCTACTTATAATGCTTTTTTTCCTCTATAATATAAACTGTTTATCATGCTTGAGTACTTTAATACACTTTCAAGTGTTCTGTTCATCATTTCTTTTTGGGTTTTTTTTTTTTTCATTTTCTCTAATGTGAGCATGAAAAGAATATTTTTGTAGACTTTCTCTTCAAATCCCTATCCCAAAACAAAAATATCAGATATTTTTTCTTCAGTTATCTTCTGAAGTTGTCTTAAACTAGTCATCATGTAGTCTTATGTGGGTTAGATTACTTCTGATATTCTTACTGTCTCAAAGTCTAAGATCTTAAACTTCTTTTTCAAATGTTATGTTACAGGGTAGCACTTAATCGCAGTTAAAAATATATAATGAATTTTTAAATTAAACTGATTCAAGGGGGAATTTTAGTAGGTCTCTAGTAAATAAAAGTTGTCAAACGTTCAAGAAATGACAAAAGACTGAAATAAAAAAAATAAAAAGACTGAAAAAAAAAAATCACTATATGGGAGTATGATACAGTCAAGGAAATGCATGTAGAAAGGAATAAAATAGTAACGGAATAATAGACATAATAGAAATGACTTGAGATTCAGTCACATTCAGTCAAGTAGAATTAAAATGGTGAAAGTATGCATTTACGTGGAAACAAAATGAGTCTTCAGGAATCCAGTGTCTATTCTTTGCTGTAAAGTGCTCCCAGTTACATCTAAAATATTTATAGGCTGGTTACTGAAAGTGTATTCACTTATATTGCTTCTGAGCCTTTCTCTTTTGAGAGACTAGATTGAATTTGGAATTAGTCTTTCCAAAAACTAAATGATCCTCTAAACAGTTTTCTGTGGTATAAGCAAAATGATTATAATCCAATTTGTAGTGGATATGTGCCCATATAATAAAAATCCAAACCCTGTTTGGATGCTAATTTGGCAGTAACTTATACTGTCTTCTAGAAACTCATTGGAGAGGTGAAAAGTAAGTTGAGTAAGAGGATTTTTCTCATCTTAAGAAGTAGTGCTGTAAAATCTTGAAAACTTCCAATTTCCCCCCAAAATGTTAGAATGTTGAGGTGGGACGAGGATGGCACAGTTAATTTAAAAGTTTTCAACCTGGGAACAGCTGATAAAAGAGTTGATTAATAAAGAATTCAGGGAGCTTAATATCATTATCTCAAATCTATAGATACGTGTCAGGTTAACAATAGGTTTTTATGAGAAGACCAAATAAGGATCAATAAAGGTGGAAATAGTGTTATAAGAGACTTCTGTAAGGTTATATTAGTGTTATTTCATGTGTTGATGGTGAAAGTGAATAATACAAAATCCTCAAGCCACTTTAAGCCGATTCAGAGCCAAATCCGTTTTAAGCCTTAAAATGCTAAAACAAGTAGGGACTTTTATCAACAGATGAGCTTCCAGTGGAGTATGTGGATTGATTGCTGGTATTTTTCTGCTTATAATATTTGTAATTTATGTAAGAGTAGCAGGTAATGAAGACAGGCAATTTGTAAGCACCTATATGGGCAAAGAAATTTTAATAGCATATGATTTTCCTATCCAGCAGACAACAAAATTCACGGACAGATGTCAAACTTTGCCAAATTTCGACTAGTAACAGAGCATATTTTTTAACTACTGAAGAAATGAGCTTCAGAAATATTGGAACAATTTACTACAATTGTATTAGATTTTTCATAACTGGATTATATTCTTTAGTTAAAGCAAGAAGTAATTTAGTAATTTGTTTGGCTTACCATATAACGAAAGTAAGTTCTGTTATTACATTCTAGTATTAATACACAACAATTTGTTAAAGGAAATTTATTTGAGTTAGAGCAGAAGGATTAAGCAAAGAACCCTCTATCTCATAGGTCCTTGATGTCAGTAGAGAATTTATTCAAGCCTTTTCCAGGTGTTGCTATCAGATCAGAGAGATATCTTTTAAAAAATGAGTTCTCAATTTTGTTGCCTTGATTTGTGGCACAAAGCTTTTGAAACATTAGGTTTTTAGCCAGTGGTGCTGACCAATTGCCTGTTACATTGAAGTTAAAGAAAACAAGGGTTTATGTGCTTTTTGGAAATACTAAACACTTAGACTCTGCTATCTGACAGTGTTCCACTGAGTTTTAAGTCTTCGATAATTTTGAAAATCAGGTAATAATACTGAAAATTTTCCACTGAATAGGAGGACCTCAACATTAAAGACCACACTTAAAATATGAAATCTCTCTGTTTCCGTTTTACAAGAAGCCTGTTCTTCAAGGGCATATACATCAAGTAGTATTAGTAATGCAAACCTTTTTCCCAAAACCTTTTAGTTAGAAGACTAATTAGAAAAGTTTATATTTTAAGGTGTCCAAAGACCAAATAGTATTTTTGTATTTTTTTAAGCATATTGTTTGCAGATCGTTTATAGAAGCTTTAAAAACAGATCATTTCCAAGGATAACTCCAACAACTATCTTCATAGCTCTGTTAAATGTGCTGAAAAAACAACCTTAAAATTTTGCCTACACTAATTTTTGTTTTGAGCACCAGGTGGGGCTGTAATCACATTTGTCTTTAACCTGTACTATGTTCCTTCGGTATTTTTTTAACAATATGTAAAAAATACTTGGGGTTGAAATTATTTACAGACCCTTGAAGTGAGAGATATCTTTTGCTCCCGTAAGTCTGATCTTTCTTGATTTCATTTATAATGAGAAATCTGAGATGGGCTGATGGAAACAGCGTTAAAACTGTTGCTGATTGCCAACCACCTTCTAGTTTGGACAAGGAGCTACGCAAATATAGGTCTATTGCTTTGAGAGCAAAGGTAGCATCTTTTCAGAATACAGGGCTGTGCTTTGTGGAAGTGTCTGCTGAAGAAAGCATTAGCTCAGGTGCGTCTCCACAGCATGCCATCCCACCTGTTATGTATAAGAGTGAAGAAAGCACTATAGTTACTATAGTTCAGAAAAGAGACATTTTCAGCTGTTCTGAGGGTATGTCTGAACCTGTGGACTCTCTTTACATGTAAAGGACAAATGAGCAAAACAGAGTATTAGTTGTTTTGAACTAACTTGAAGAGAACTCCTTTTAGATCTTGTGTATCTCATTGTCATTTTAATTTTTAATGAATTCAGGAAAATAAAAACACAGAAATATAGCACTTCATTGTGTTTGTGCTCTTAAGTTCTGGTGTACATTTGGTTGCATTCTGTTGTACATTTGGCTGCATTAAGCAATATTTTTCTGCATGTTTGCAAGCTCCTTGGCTCTTTTGTCATCATATATGTTCCTTGCTGAGTTTTTCTTTAAATATCAATCCATTTCTATGTCTATGTCGTTACCTTCAGTTTGACTTTCTGCAGGGGGATCTCTGTGTAGCTATCCTCTGAGAATACTTGGGAAATGATACGTAGAATAGTCTGAGATTGCTTTGGTATGGCAAAAGCTTGAAAACAGTCACTTGGATAGCTTTAAGTAAATAAATAAGATTTTACTGAGTACGGTATGTTTGCAGATTCACATTTTTAGTTAGCTGCAGAGTATCTTGTACTTTGGCACATAAGTTACTTCAAAATTTACCTTTTGATTTTGAACTCCAGGACATATATACTTTATTCTAACTATTTTAGATGCTGGGGTTTTTTTTTCTTCCTATGTGCCATTGCAAAATTTAAAATCATTCGAGATAGTATATACAGTAACTAGCTTTAAAGTGAACATACAGGAGGGACTTAAAGGTGGAGCATTCTCGGCATAAAGCTGTGGGGATTAGAATACAGACCTCTGCACGATCCAGTGAAACTTATTTTGCTCAATCTTCTAGACTCTCTTTTTTCCTTGTTAATGGAATTTTCAGGTTTGTATATGTCGTTAGTCAATGATTTTGTGGTGATAACAGTATTGCTAAAAATAAATACATAAGTAGAGGTCCATGTTGTTGAGTAGAAGCCTTGCTGAAAAATCCTTTACTTTGTTTTGATCTTGGTAATTAGCAAAGCATAAGGAGCTACAGAGAAACAATTGAACAGGTACAGGACTTTGAAAGCAAGACAATTATATGGAGCCATATGACAGTAGAGAAGAAGAGCATGTACAGAGGGATTATATCCTTTATTTCCTTGAAAAGATCTCAAAACTATGATAAGTGGATGAGAAGGACAGGCTGAACTAAAATAAAACTAAAGCAAAATCAAAGAATTAAAATGGAACAAAAAAGAACCACAATAAAATTCACCATTCATGTTCTGTATGTACACAACCACAAAACAGAACAAACTGGGGAAAGTGCATTGCATGATTTTTGCTGCTTTTTAAAAATTACTTAAAATGGATCCCAATCATGAAGAATGGTCAAGGTAACCATTAACAAGGAAATTTAGAGAGAAATATTAAGTTCCTTTTTGAATGAATTTATTACAAAATGTTTTTTTAATAGCAGAAAATGCCCAGAATGGCTCAGGAAGGAGGGATATTATTTCTGCTCATAGGAGTTATGCCCATGTTATTCAGTGTATTGGTGTTCATTTTAATTACAGCTTGTAAGGTTTTTGTCACTTTTGCTAGCATAACTATTGTTTTTCCCTACCTAATCTTCCATGCTGAAATGAAAAAAAAAAAAAACCCCGTCATTAGTGTTGAGCATTTTAGATCACTAATTATAACTCTCCTGCATCTTTAAATTGTGAATATATAAGTTGCAAAGTATTTTTGTGTTATCAGCTGATAGATCAATTGATACAATTTCTAAAACCATATCACTTAATTTATGTTCTGGTACCACAGTTGCATGTATTCTGATGTCTATGCCATAATATGCTTATGCTATAAAAAAAAGATCAGACATATACACATATGCTAATTCTTGAAGAGAGTCTGAGATAGAAGTAGAAGGCTGGCTTTGTGTGGATTGTTTAATGTTGATTTGGTTGAGCTCTTGAAACTCTAGGTTTAGGGCCTGATGTTGCTATTCTGAGCAGAATAGGAGGGGTATAGAACTACCAATGACTGCAGCGGTGGCTAGGGAAAAAGTCAATCCAGATAATGCGTTGCTGTAACCAGGCTTCTTTCTGGCAACTGAAATTGAGCATGAGGAACATAAATCTTTGCTCGTGGTAGCAGCCTTAATTGGTCAAGGTAGCAACAGCATTGAGAATGCAGGCAATGCAACCCAATAAAGCTGGCTATCATCTCTGAAGGTTCAGAGTGATGAACATGTAAGGCACTCAGATATGTTTAGGAAGATAAGCTGCAGAGAACACCTGATTTTTTTTTTTTTTTTTTTTTTCCATCCTGGTTCTCTTCTGAATAGTCTCTTGTCCAGCTCATGTTGTTGTCATTGTACTCATGTTGCTCTTTGATAAATATAACAATGGCAGTAATATATAACTTTTTGATTTATTAATTTTAAATTTCCCTATTGCTTTTTAGCAAGACTCAAAACATGTTCTTACATTTGCTGCATACCTAGTTAAATGTGCTAACTAGTAATACTTATTATAAGTCTGGCTTAGTGGTGAACTTGTTTTGAAATGCTTTATAACATTCCTATGACTCTTTAATTTAATATTCTTAAGTATGGTCCTGAAGACTGGAATTCATTATACAGAACCTATTACACAAAATAAATAAATTTCACTTAGTTGCTGAGTTCATGTGAATGGCCTCTGTTTACAGAATAAAAACTTTGAGATTCACGTATGTCCTTGAATCTATGAGTTTCCAAAGATGATTGTAATTTCTGTCTTGATCTGAAGTTTATGGCCTTTTTTTATACTTAGTTACTAAAAAGATTTCACATTTTAGGAAAAGTCCTTCCTGGGTATCTTCAATTACACTCCTCTGATGGAGTGTTATTGTTCTTAAAAAATTTTCTTTGTATGGTCAGGATATCTTTTTTTTTTTTTTTTAAATGCTGAATCCTTTCTTCTGCAAGGAAAAATAACCTGGCAGAGACAATAAAATAGTATGCATGTCCTATTTTAATCCATTGTTTATAGAAGTTGAATTACTTTTGCTCATCCTCCTTTCTTTATTTTCCTTCATTTCTTTTGCATAGATTTCAGTGGTTTAAAGGGCTCAGGCATCTCTCCTCGCTATTTTGAGTCAGCAATATAGTGATCATTCTCAGCTGCTGAGTTCTTGGTTCATATGTAATATGCTGTAGCAAGCTGGATCACATTGTCCCCTGAGAATTTCATTGAATATTCACTTTTCAACTTTTCATGAATGTAAAACCTTGCAAGAGTCTTTAAAGTCAAATTTAGTCTGCCTCAAAGTTCTTTTGTTCTTCTGATGTAGCAATTTTAAAGTTGATGTAATTAAGGATAGTATTTTAGCATGTATATAGTTTTCTTGTCTCTCAGAATTCTTCTCAGTGATGAACTGAGGCTTCAAAAGCAACGTATTTTTGGGCTGTAAGTCTGCAAAATTATTCACTGAATTAAGGCTTAGAGTGTATATAGAGAGATTTGCAAAGTCAGAACACAAGTTTGGTGTTGTACAAGCTGAGGATTTCCTTTTAAAAATATGTATACAGAGTAGTCCATGTTATAGTCATTGTATTTTTAATTCGTTACATAAATGTATATGTTCAATGAGAAATTAATGCTATTAGACATTGTCTACTGCTTTGCTTTGTTTGGACTTCATGTTTTTCTGGTGTTTAGAGCAACAAAAAAAAAATCTGTGTAAGAGAATATGGTGCTACTGCTGTGATGCTAATTATGCACAGTAGGTTTGGGCATGTTCCTATTTTACTAATTACTATTACTAACTTCAATAATGGAGTATTGCAGTGTTGTCCTTACTCTGTCTAAAAAGGCAGAAATCTTTTTAGAGTACTTTTGTCATTTTCTTCTGCTATTTGAATGAGAAACTTCTGCTTGTACTAAAGGAAGACAGAGAATAGGTATAATGAAACCAAAGCTACATATGCGCAAAATCAAAGCCTACCTTTTTAATAAAAATATATTTAATTATAATTTACATGTTGGATAAACATTTGATATATTTAAAACATTATAAGGAAGAATAATTTTCGTAAAACTCTTTAAGGGTGTGCTTCAATAAAACTTTGAGTGCTAATGCATTGTATTACTTGTTATTTTGGTTCTGCTTCAGTAGGTCACACTGGCCTGATTATTGCTGAAAAAATGGAATAGTTTTAAATTCAAAGAGTAATCATGATTTTGCATGTCCATACTTATATGTTCATTGAATCATACCCGTGTTCTTCTGTGACCTGCAAAGTCAGTATCAGGCCCTAAATTAAAATATTGCTTTTCGTTTCTGAAGAAATGTCAAATATTAAATTTCCATTGATCATCTATTTATGTAAAAGAATATACATACACATTTTAAATAGAAATATTGACAACAGATTTTTTTTTTTTTGCAGGTACTTGATGGTCTTGAAGGTATTGAGAATTACCTTAAAATCTTTAATTCAGAAAGCTTATACTTGCCTATCTTGACAAAGAAGTATGAAGAATTACAGGAAGCAATTAAAGGTTGCACAGCAAGTACCTTGCAAAAGGGACAAACTTTACTTAACAAAGCAGATTCTCACAGGTATTCCCTCCATTTTTGCACATCTGCTGCATTTCTCCGTATCTACCTGTTGCTTTATAACTCCACTAGTTAGAATCAGACTACATTTAGAGCCAGTGTAGTTAACTAACAGGTGTGCATTTAAATGACACTGATGTAAAGCATGACTTAGTTTAGAATCAATCCTAATGGCTTAATATCTCCTACTTTTCAGGTCTTAGTAGTAGGCTGGTGCAATAAGAATGAAAACCATTTATACTAATGAGTTCTACTTCAAAGACAGAGCAGATGACCATGGCTGATACTTGGCTAGTGGTCAGCTTAGCTCTACCTTCCATTACATGCTTATGTCCTTAATTATTCCTGAACTTTGAATAGCTTTACTGCCACACAGCAACTGAAAGTCTAGACAAGTTTTTCATTTCATCTCATGACCTTGCAAAAAATTTTATCTACAGCACCTTCACCTGTCACTGCAGATGTAATTGGCTTGAACCTAGGAAAGGGACGACATAGAAAATTTAAATAGAAAGTTGTTTTGGGAACGCATGCAACTGGCTTTACAGCTATTGTTACTATTTCAGCATCTCCTGATATTTTAATTAAATGGAAGGGAAAGGGATTTTCCTCAGTGAAACTTTGACTTTGATTCCTAAACCAGACACAATTCCAGAACATATGCTGCTGTTCTCTAGGACTTGATGTTCTGATAGACTTTACCTCAACAGAAGCGGATGTTGTGTTTCAAATTATGTCTGCACAGCATTGATTAATGTTAGGAATGCTAAAGATCTGGATAGAATGAATCCCGAAAATAACAAATCATTAATTTTCTTTCTTCCTTATTAAGAGTTTTTTTTAAATGTTTAAACAGTCCAAATCAGCAGTGGGATAGTAAGATATCATCGATACACATCAAGAAGAATGGGATGAATTTGTCAAAATAACCCTATCAGTCATTTCTGGTAAAATTCAATAAAAACAGGTAATGCCACAGGCAGATCCCCTTTGTCCCAAAGCACTGCTCAAGATGTTATATAAATAAATAAAGAAGGTAAGATTTCTGCTAGAAGACACTGTAATTTAAAAAATGGCAAAGCATTGCAGATGAAGCAGGAGTAATTTAGAGAAGGAAGGTGAAACTTAAAACAATATCAATAGGCAATCTCGCCAGAAATGTGTTTTGCTGTTTCTAAAGAACAGTGAAAAATCCCAGGCTCTCAAACATTTTAAATGTCTACTTGCATCATAAAAATAAATAAGTCCCTTTCTAAAAAAGCAAACAGAGTATTATGGCTTTTCAGTTTTTTCCTGCTGCGTTCAGGCCTCATTGCCCGAATATAATGAATTTGCCATATATTTCAACAAGTAGTGCTAGTACTTCCGTACAGGTGGAACAGTTTATATTCCTAGGCATGGCCTTGAGGATTACAATCATGGAATAATTTAAACTGGCAAGGAACTCTGGAGGTCATTTGGCGCAATCCCTTGCTCAAAACTTGTCAGTTAGATTAGGTTGCTCAGGGCCAAATTTTGAATTCCATAGCCTCTCTGGGCAACCTGTTCCTAGCGCTTAAGCACTCTCCTTGTGAAATATGTTTTTCTTATATCTAGCCAAAATTTCTGTTGCTGCAACTTATGAGCAGTGCCTCTTGCCCTCTGAAAAGACTCTAATCCTGTCTTTTGTATAACCCCACTTCTTCATAGATAATGAAAGACACCAATTAGATCACCTCCTCAACTCTTCTTTACTCTGAACAGAGTTCTGTCAGCACCCCCTTGTGCATCGTGTGCTCCAGCCTTCAAACATCTTAGTGGCCTCTGCTCAATTCACTTCAGCTTGTCTGTCTGTCTTGTACTGTGGGGACCCAGGCTGGACAAACTGGTCTCCAGATACAGTTTCACAAGCCCGTAACAGAGGGGAGTAACCTGCTGGCTAGTCTTTTCCAGATGCACTCAGCACGGGGCTAGTCTTCAGTGCCACAAGGATGATCCTGACTCACATTCAGCTTTTTGTACACCACAACAAATCTAGGTTTTTTTGCCTAACCCATGGCTTTAGGAGATACGCAGAAGGCTCCCAGACAGCTTATAAGCTTAGTAATGGTGACACAGTGAGTTCTGTCAGCAAATGTGGTAAGGTGTTATATTCCATAATATTAATTTTCCCCATAAATGTTCATGTTTTGAAAGAGGAAAGAGAGAGGCCTCTTTTTGTCATGTATAAGCCACTCTGCTATCCTTAAATGCTGGCCAGTATTTAGCCCAATGATTAACCCACATGGGACAACAAGATTTGTATGAACAGCTGAGGTTCAAAGGAGGAAGATTTGGACAGAAAACAGAACTCCTGTCAAGACTAAATCCTGATTACTATTTTGTTCCCCTTATTGCACAATTCATTGGTAGTCTTAACTGGCCTTAGAGACTTCCCATTTCCATTATCTAACCAGACTGGAAATCCTGAGGGACATGGGCAGTCACCATTTGAAGGCAGTGAAGGCTGTGGATCTGAAAAAGTTTAGGTATCTTTTCAAAAAGATGTTTTGCCATAAGACAGAAAAGAAGGTATAATCTGACAATGAGATACATAGCTGTTAAGTGTTTGCAGTCTGGTAGGATTCTTGAACTAGCTGGCAGCAAGCAGAAATTTGTGTGGAATTTAAAAATAGCTGCCAACTCCCTTAAGGTGTAGTTGGAGCACAGTAATTTTAGCATTCCTTCATCATTTGTGATATAGAAGGTATTGCATGCTCTGCTACTTGCATGGCTTTACTATTTTTAAAAAAGAAGCCAGATTCTCCAGTTTTTCAGACAATATATTTATTAATAAAGAGAAGGAACCATCTGACCTTGCTCAGGTTGGGTGACACTTTGTCGATTTTGATGAGATGATGCCCTGAATTGCACTGTAACTTCTGAATGAAGATACAGGAAAACACATTTTTAATGTAATATCAAAGTGGCTGCCATGTGTAGTACTTGTTTAAATGCACCGAGAGAAGATAGAGTACTTGAATATTAAGAGAATTGAAACGTAGATGGATTTCTGTATCCACATTGTTTTGTTGTTTTAATTTTCAGAGTACCCAAAAATAAGCCAGGCAGTTTGTATGCATACGATAAGACAGCTCTAGTAGTTTATGATTTACAGATCTAATACTGATAGCCTCACATTTAAGGCTAGTGACACTGACTTCAATGGCATAATTGGAAATCCAACTCACAGGAAAAATGGAGAAATATGATGTTAATTCTGTCCTACTTTCAAATCTTCTTGAGGCTTCTTGCAGCCTTATACTAAAAGGTAGTCCAAATAAATTAAAATGCTGAAAATGTTCACATTGGGAGATGAATAGATTATAGAAAAGTGACAGAAGGCAGTTCTTTCTTGTAATCCTAGAGTGTTTCAAAATGAAAATATTGGTAACCCTGATTTTTGAGCTCTCATATTTTTAAATTAGAACCAGCGAGAAAAACAGGAGGAGCAAAAATTTATGTATTAATTCTAAAAAAATTATACAATCAGTAAGTTTTGTCCGTTAAGAGAACCCTTCTTTGTCAGCCAGTTAGCTTGACTATGAGTGTAAGACCTGTCTTTATTTTACTGCTGTTATAAATTTATTGTGTTAACTCATAACAAATCAATGATGCTTTCAAAGATTTTATTGAGATCTAAATTATAATTTTCAAAAACTATAAATCTTGTTCTCATTGCTTTTTTTAAAGGAGTGGTGCTAGTAGAACTTTTTAAACATACCTCTTTTTAAGGAGTACTGAAATAAAGGAGCGACACTTTTAGAATTTAAGGATAAAGCACAAAATAAAAGGTTGCTAATTTTTAAAAGAGTAATTTACAAAATTTGAAACCACCTACTGCCTAAAAAGGACTTAAAATTTGGTTTCTCTTTGTGATCAATTCTTGGATCAGATTCAAACAGAATGTTCTATTAATACCATAATTCATGTTAGTAGTGTAGAATAAGATTTTTCTTTGAGGTTGCAGAATTTAACTTTCTGAGCCTGATCTGAAGTGAGGAGAAAATTTCCTTTAATTTTAGAGGACAAAAGAGGAAACCTTGAATAAGTCCTTGTATTAATGAAAGTAACTAAAGTAACGAAAAACTTATTTTGAACATGTTTGTCTTACAAAAACTCTTACGATGAATAGATTTCAATAGTAAATCAATTGATATGTGGGTTTCTTCTTTTTTTTATATCAAAAATTCAGATATTAATTGTATGTGGTAACTTTACAATTTGAAGAGGACTGCCTCAAGTATTCAGATTGTGAATTGCTTCCCTGATATTAAATGGTTTAAGTTATAAGACAAGCCTTTGTTTTGTAAATTGATGTTGTCTTTTCTCCTGTTAAAACAGCATCTTTAAAGAAATGTTGACTTAGAATGTATATGACATTCTTTTTTCAGCTATTGTAAAAACACTGAAATATTTGAAAGTCAAAAAACCCCATTCTTTTTAAAGTAGAAGTGATATGCCATATATTTTCATTCTTTCTAGGCTGTTCCATTTGTGGTTTTAGTCTTTAGATAGTCCGAATTATTTGTGAAATGAGGTATTTCTCAGTGAATCAGAATATGTGGCATGTGAATCTAACTTACACACTGGTGATGAATGATTTGTTTGGAAATGTCATTCTTGTGTTCTACTCATTATCAATTTTGTTTGGATTCATTTTAATATTTCTCTTGATTATTTTAAGGGTCACAGTTTAAAATTCATAAGTTACTTGTCATACAAATCAACAGAAAAGGTGTTGGGTTTTTTTAATCATCATCCTGATTGTTGAGCAAAAATGAGAAATAACAACAGTTTTACTCTTCCATTTTAGCTCTTGGGTGACAGGAATTCAGAAAATGATGCAATATGTTCAAAAAAAAGTAGATAAATTAATCAGGCAGTGTCCAGATTATAAGGAACTTACTTTAAAGAAACAACAATGGACTGCATCACTTGAAGATCATCTAAATAAGGTACCTCATAACACATTTTCTTCTTAATGCATTCATGAACACTGCATTGCATTTCCATAATTTAGCTATGTGAATATTAAAGTTGACTCAAATAATTACAAATAACATTGGTTTGTTAGAGAGCACACAGTTGTAGTTAGAATGCCGAATGCTGTTATCAGCACAAATGAACCTAAAGCTGTTCTGAAAAATGCAGCTGTTTCCATGAGAACATTTTACTAATAATATTCAATAAAGTATGGATTTGCTTAGATAATGAGCTATTATAATTTGTTCTTTTGGAAAAGAAGTGAACAATCAGGACTCTGACCTGCATGCAGGTTTCCTATACTGTTTCTATGTCTTCTGTTTCATTTGGCTGAATGTAAAAATAGAAGTGTGCCAAAATTGTGGGTTAATAAGCATGGTGACTGTGAACCACAGCAAATTTTCAGTAAGGCTGAAGGAGAGTAGATTCTGTTCACTGTAAAAATTCCTTTATTCGTTAAGATACTGAGGCACCAAGGACATCACATCCTTCTTTAAGCTGTTGAATGTTCTGTAGTACTGCAGACCTTTTTAATGACTTGTCAGAGATAGAATAGACACATGGCTCCTAAATAAGGTTCCATGTGTAAATTCAAATTAAAAAAAATAATCTTTTAACAAGGTTCATATGAAGGAAATCCCAGAGCATAGACCAAAAAGTAAATCAAATTTAATGACTGAATAACTAAGTCTGCAATCTGATACAATATTTGCATGAAGTTTATAATGAACTATTCTGAAACAAATAGGAAGTAAATTTGCCATAAATTGGTCCCTTTGCATACAATTTATGTAGAAGAGGCCTCATGGTATTAGAACACAGTGAAAATATTGTTGAGTTTAGCTGAAAATAAAAGATTTGTTGATAGCTGCTGGTCTTGTAGAAATTATGTCACCGGCATATTATGAATCTTAAGATAAAACTTCAATTATGAACGTAAATTTTACTCAAATGTAGACCCCAATTTTGATACAAGGTTTCATTCTGCACTTTGTTCTAATCACTTTGTTCCCAGTCTTGCATTAGAGAACATTTTGAACATTTTATTGATAACAAATGATCTTTCATTACAGTGAACAGTGCTTATTGTTTTATTCCTACCAAGCAAAACACTTTTCATTCCAACCTTCTGTTAATGGAAAGTATCACAAAGAATCTGGTGCTAAATTCAACTGCCCCTGAGCTTCATTTAATAAAGTTTGAACCTCAATCAGCATCCACTTCTTAAAATATATGGTACATGTGAATTCACATGTCTAGTAATAACTATACATATTATGTCTGGTATCATCTGCCTCTGTTCTTCATAATCTGTTTTGTTATCATCATGCATATATAACATCTTACAGTGACAATGAAATGGAGTTGTGTACATGTATCTGCACAAAAATAGGTCTCTTGGCTTGGAGGAGAAGCTTTAAATGTACTTTTTGGGAAAAAAAAAAAAAAACACAAAAAACAAAAACCGAGCATGATGGGAGTGTTTTTGCCAAGGTTATAATATCTAAATTATAATGCAGTTGTGCCTTATTGAAATAACAAGCTTGGGATACTTAGGATAAAGGAAAACACAATCAATAAAATGAGAGCAAACAGGACGGTTTTTTTCTCAAATTCTGACCATACTTGTTAGAATTTTTTTAGGAGAAATAGTAGAATTTTCTTCCTTCATATTTTCATTCCTGAATTTCTCTGGTTATACAAAGTACCTAATCTAAACACCAACAGACAAGTGTTACTTCACTTTTTTCTACATAAAGTGATGTTTTATACTGTTTTTATACTCTCTACTTGTACAAATTAACAATATAAAAATGATGCTTTCAAATAAAGGTATCGCAGTCGATTAAAAAAATCACCCCGATGCTTGCAGTTGGTATGGAGATTGGTTCATATTTGTGCGAGTCGGAAAGAGTTTTGAACAAACACCTTGAACTGGCTAAACAAACTAAGGTAAAAAAAAAAAAGAAGCTTTAATAATGTTAAGTACTCTTAGAAAAAAATGCATGTTGTATGCAATTCTAAATAAGGTGAGAGACTGAGAGTTTCTTATGTATTCTTGGAAAGAAAACAGGTCTATAGTTTAGTTTAAAACTGTAGTTAATGAACAAAACCATAGATAATATTACAAGACAGTTCTTCTTATATCATTGCTTATCCCCACTGTCTCTATCTCATGTTATTTGCTACTACCTCAAGATCCCAGTATCAACCCTTGATAGGAAGACTCTTCAAATGTGGATTGCTACTCCTAGCAAGTTTAAAAATTGTCTAGGCAGCCAGAGGCACAGAAAACTCTCATGGTTTATTACACCAAATAAAAGGGATGAATCAGCAAAACAGAAAAATGTAGTTCCCAGGTGGAGAAACTTTGAAGGGGGCTGTGAGGTTGCCATCAGATATCTGTTGGTTGTGTTGGGAATGCAGCCATGGTATGAAAGCACTGCAGCACTTAGCTCTGTAACACAGATGAGGCTATTTTTAAGTCACATTCGGGGCCTTTCCAACTCCCGTAGCAGTGCTGCAGTGTCTGAAAGTGGCTTAAAACCAGTTGAATCCTCTCCATTGTCTTGACACAAGTGCGTATTTCATGGCTAAACTGAGCAACATGGCAGTATATGTTTTAGGAGTATTCTATGGTTTAGGAGTTCTTAAAACTATATTACTCCTTTGGAGGTTTTTTTTTGTTTCAGGCAACAGTTTTTTTCCAGCAACAAGAGCTGGATCTGTACAGTGTCTGTGGAAATAAAATTCACTTTAAGGAAATTCTGGTGAACACACAGTAAGAATATTAAAAGTTCAGCAGATGAGCAAGAGCCCCTTTTTGTTCCACAAGACTGTATAATAGTTTTTAGTGTCTTTTATGCAAAATTTTTGCATGCCAGGGTGTTACCTTTTTTTGTTGCAGTCTAAAATCTGCCCTGACAATAGTAACCTCTCCTACCTATTCTTTCTGTGGATTGTGATATGCTAGAGTTTGCACTCTTGACTGAATGCCAGTAGATATGCTAAGTGGTATGGAGGTAAATATACAAAAGCAGGTAAGCACATAGACACAGATATTTGAAGCTATGAGTTAAGGCAGTGAATCTGAAAACCAGTATCCCAGCTGAAACATGGAAAATGTTAGCAACTCAGCTCTTGCTCGGACAGCATACTGTGACTCTTCTGGGTCTGAGCAGTTGATGCAGTAACAGATATGACCCACTATTTGATCTCCATCTGACTTCTGCAGATTTGCTGCATGCAAGAACATGGGTTGGAATGCAGGGCAGTCTAGCTTGATGGGTAGGGACTAGTCTGGAGCTAGGAAGCAATTATTGATTCAAGAATGAAGGCATGAGTGGAACTAAGATCCATAAGGCAAAGTGCTACAAGGACAGACCATAAAACAATTATAGCAGTGGCCTTATGAGGACCCAGTGCTTCTGGAGCCTTACTGTAGAGTGGACACTGAGTTCTTCTATGAGAATTGAGTATCAGACAAGCAGCTAAGAGGGATTTAGACTCAAAAGAATCAGTTCAGAAAATTGGGCTATACTATTTATTGAAGGAATTGTATCAGTTCTAGCTATTGGTGTTCCCATATGGAATGTTTCTGATTTTTTTTTTTCATTCTTACACTGTGAAGTGGTTTACTTAATCTGAATACTGAGATTCTTACTTTTTTTTTCCATTCATAATAACTATTTTAATAACTACATCCGTAGTTTTTGGTGTCAAAATATTACAGGAAAGAAAGGGTTATTTTCAGCATATAATGTCCATTATGAACTCTTCTTCAGCTAAGTAATTGAATTATACATAAGAGAGTAATACTAGTGAAAATTAACAATGTGATATCAATATTCACAAGTCCTTTTCAGTCATTATGCATATTGTTCTATGCTTGTACCCTCAAAGGAAACATCACATGAACTGGAAGCAGCTGAGAGAATCATCAAAGTTATGGAAGAGTTTGAACCTGAGCAGGTGGCAGCTTTTTCTAGCAGAACTGACTTTCTGAATGAAGCACTGAAAAAAATTGAAAAAAATATTAGTTCAAAACTAGAAATTCTAGAAACTTATGTGGCCTTTTTAAAGTCAGCTATGGAGGTACAGATTACTTATTTATTCTCTAACTAGACTGTGAAAATCTTGGTGAAAAATGTGCTTTTAGCCAGCTAAGACAAATCCTGTAGATGCTGTGCCATGGAAGCACTGCAGGTCTTTGTAAGCTCCTTTCTACTTTAAAGGAGATCTGTTCCATCAGGGCAAGCAGGCCTGATAATTGAACTTGCGTCAGCATAATGGCTAGTCTATGTACAGATTTTCTACTGATTTAAATCACTATTGTAGGAAGTATTATTATTGAATTTTTACTTTTTCTCCTTCACACATGCTCTCTCTCGTTATATACATAATAAAAATGCTTATGTATATGTACTCCAACTCTTAAATTTACTGATTTTGCTTCATATAATTTTAAAAATATGTCACATAATATATTGATATATATTTATCATACTGTAATATATAGATATTTATCACTGTCTTGCATTACTTCCACTGAAGTGCTAATTCATCTCAAAGGGTTTAAAAATTAAATACAAAACAGCTCTCTCTAGCTGAAATCATAATCAATTCATTACCAACATAATTTTGGTAGCTATGCTAATGGTGCCCAGGGCAGTTAATTTTCATTTTGATGTAATGCTTGTTTTAAGATTCTACAACACTGTTGTTATTTTATATTTAGAAAGAAATTGAGGACACAATGGAGCCTATCAAATAAAATTAGCCATAGGGATTTATTTATTTGAAGATAAACTGCCAAAAAAATGGATTGCGTCTACTTCCGATGATTGCTAACTTCAGTTACTTCATATTAAACAGATCTGTGAAAATCATTGCATTGATACACTGGTATATAATATCCATGTAATGATATGTGACAGAAATTGAACAAATTGCTGTCACCTGTCTGCTTGCCATCTACTGGTTAACAGTTTATTTAAAACTTTTTTATTATTTAGTATTTGTACAGATTTTAGGGAGATGATAGATCTTAAAACCTGGAAAGATTCAGAGGCTTCTATTCAGTTTTACCATGTCTGTATACCTTCTGATTATAGCAGCTTAATTTTTTATTTGTTTTTTGATGCTTATTTTATGTCTTTCTGTAGGTGAATGATGATATTCAAAATCTGAAGGAATTTTATAGATCAGAACCACTACAAACAAACAGGGAGGCTGAAAATAAAATTGCAATGGAGTCAGCTAATACACAGTGGCAAAAGGCTATAAAGAAAATTTTTTCCACCCAAAATATGGGTTGCAATTTTGTTAATTTGATAAATATGGTGAGTATAATCTGGTAAACCATATTGAATATTTGATGTTTGCCTGTAATGAGGACTAATACTAGTTCTGTGACTGGTGGATTGTGATTTCTCCAGTACCTAGTTTTAAAGGGACTAATGCTGCTATATACTTATAAAATATGAAAGTATTATTTAAGTGGTAATGGCATTATAAGTAATATAAATAATTTTGTGATTAACAATGACAGAGCCCTTGATAAATGATCCAGTACATGCATATGAATATAATACATGCACATATCTGTCTTGTTCATGTTGGAAAGCAGTATATATGCAAGTACAGTATTAAGTTTATTTTACTTCCACTAAGAGGCAGTCTTTATTAAGTAAGTGTATGAAGTTCTTCTAAAGAAGAGTGCTAGAGCTACTTCCTTACAGATAATCTTTCCTGGTGTCTTTACGTTCTGTCTTGGGTTCAGCTGCACTGCCTAGGCATCCCTATCTAATTTTCCAGCACTCCTTCATGAGATGATCATTTGAGATGTGCAATCATTTCCTAAGGCACCACTCCTAAAGTGATCCCAATTAATGTAGACAGCCTGGATACCCAGCTGTTCTTTATGTTTTTATAGGACAGACTAGGGAGCAATTACATTAGGGTGAGAAGGGGGAGTTGGTGTTGATAACATACAGCAGCATGCAAGATGAGCTGGAAAAATCTACTTAAGGAGGGAAAGTGCTCAGGCAGTTAGTGTGGACTAAAGTGTGTGCTGTCACAGCTGGATGCAGCCAGGCACAGATAAGATAGTCAGTGTAAAGGCAAGCTGAATATGTGTGAATATGAGGTTGCACTGCAGTCACTTAAAGTCTAAACATATCTTCTATATTCTATAAACATATATTCTAGAGATATTATGTCTCTAAAGACCTGAAAGTATGTTGCCATCATATTTTCTGCTACTCTGTTCCCATGATATTCTTAGGTTGTAGCTTTTAAGTATCTGGAAGATAAGGATCATACAAGTAATTTATGAACACAACTTTTCTTAAAAGAAAAATTCTGAAACGGGAAAAGCAGAAACAGCATTACCTAGTTTTCTGATGTTTCTGATATGGACTCTGTTAAAAAGAGAAAAAACCACCAAATGTTCAAATGCTGAACACTTTATCACTCCCATGCTTTGGTGCTGTTTTGGTTATCAGCACAAAGGAGTGGCCTTTTCTTCATCCACTTCACTTTCCAGTTGCTATTCCCCAAAAGGCCATTTTGGGTAGTTCTGTCTATTCTGAAATGACTTTATTTTGTATGAGCATTAAATAGCCATCAGATGACAATAATTCAGTCATACTGACCTGGTTTTAAAGTTCTAGGTTTTAAAGTTTAACGTTAGCCATGTCCTCAGTATGCAAATTCTGTTGATCTATATGCCTATTTCTAAGAGAACAGTATATTTAAAGACACCTAGAGTACCAGAAATTTTCAAAGAAGTTATCCTCAAATAGTTGGTTTTTATTGAAGTCTCAACAAAGCTTACTATTATGAGGTTTTAATTGTATTTTATAAAAACTCATATTTTATATGTGGAAAAAAAAATGTCTGTTTATTTGCCAGGTAAATGAGAGTTTAATATTAAAAGCGGAAAAATCTGTACGAGTAACAGAAGATATTATTGTTAATCTGAGTAAAGAAAAGAAAGAGCTGACCGATCTTTGGGCAATCTGGAATTTTAAAAATACTCAAGTAAGACCCATCAAACAACAGTGCCGGATATTTAAAGAACAACTAAAAGTTGTAAGTAAAATAGCTAGGAAGAAAGCAACTGTGGCAAACATTTTTAGATTGCTATTAGTCTGTGACTCTCTCATCAACTATTATAGGTATCATTTAAGAAAGAGAGATGATCAGTAAGATACTTCTCCATAGTCTATTCTGTCATTCAGATAGTCATCAAGAAACATGAAATGTTTTTGGTCTTTTTTGCCCTTATTCAAACACATACAAGTCCAAGTCCCCATTTCAGATTTTAAGTTTTAATCAAGTCTATATACTATACTAGCAGTGCTTTAGTTTTTTGTTTGTTTTTTTTAAAAAAGCACCATTTTGTTGTGACTTAATAGTTACTAAACTAAACTCTGTCCTAATAGTTACTGAAATCAAGTCCAACCATGTTCATATGGAAAGAGGACTGAAACCTCCTTGGCATAGGGACAGCGTGCAGTGTTCCTTAAAAGCAACACTAGCTAGGCTAGCAGCAGAACCAGAGGTTTGTAGCTGCTGTTTGTCTAGTGCAACTTATCACTAAACCAGGATATCTGTTATCACAGTAAATACACTGCATGTATGGGTCCTCCGATCTCAGTGTCTGAATCATTTTTGCACACTGTCTTAAAGATTTCCTATCACCCTTGTCAGTCAGGGGATTTGAGACAGAGAGGTTTATAGTTTAAAAAAAAAAAAAAATTAGTCATCTTAACTACAGAATCGCTCTTTTTTTTTTGTTTTGGTTTTTTGTTTGTTTTTTTTTTTAAACTAGTAAACTTTTAATGACATTTACTGACAGCATTTGGGTGTCTGGTTTGGGGAAGGTTCTTGTTACAAATTTTGATCTGAGTTTAGTATTTTTTTTTAAATTTACTACAGATAGAAACACTGAACTGTTTGGTTATCTTTTAGACTACCCATGGATTAGAGGTTCTTCAAGAGGCACTCCAGCTTGCAACAACAGTTGACCTTGAAAGTGACCTTTTTATTGTTTTGGAACTACAAAAAAACTTTAATCAAATGAAACCACAGTATCAGGTGAGAAAGCAAGCTACTGAGGTGCATGGTGGATCAAAAGCTCTTTTTGGTACAATAAAGATTCACATTCACATTGACCCCAGACAGAATGTCTGGGGTCACGGTGTTACATTACTTTTCCAGAAGGAAGGGTTTGTGTGTGTTTATAAGGTAAGGGAGAAGACATTTTAGCTTCAGTGTCCAGAGAATCTTTTGAGCGGTGTTAGCTGCGTATTAAAGTGACACACAAGCATTGGGGTGGTGGAAGTACAAGGAGAGTACCAGCTTCATGCTTTTGAGTTAGAGCTGGTCAGAGGCTGAGGTATGTCATACTGAGCTTCCTATGTCCTCTGAATACTGTCTCTGAGTTTTAGCAATTCAGTCTGCCATTCCCCTACAAGTTATTTGACTTGTTTTGATCGAAGGCTGTTTCTGGGTGATAGCTGAGATTCATGCTTAGCAAAAAGTAAAGTATGTGGAGAGTGTTTTAAAGAGCATGGCACTGATTTTTCCCTAATGCACTTTACCATTGTTAGGTTGTTATTTCATCAAATGTAAGGGAAAACTTGCAAATATATTTATGTAATTTGAGTAACTTCTGCTTTTTTGCTAGCAACTGAATGCTGAACTTGAGTACCTGATAAAATTATTAGAATTGCCAAGCCAGAAAGGATTTCCTGTGAAAGAGAATTCTGAAAGAATAAGTGAGCTTATTCATCTCCATCAAACAGTAAAGGACACAATGACAGAATACGATGAGATTTTCAACAAGACAGTCAAATTCCATCACATTAAAAAAGAAGTGAGTATAATCTTTTAAAATATACCTTCTTCCCGTTGCAGTTAAACTCTTTTTGGTTTTGGTGCCTGTCTTTTTTTTCCCAAAAAAATCAGCATTAACCCACCTGGTGATCAGAATTAAAATTTTGGATCTAAAACTGCATGACATTTGGAGAATTTAAAATTCAGATCTGAACCTAAATTTAAGTACTTAAACCCACATCAACAAAGTTTAGGGTAACACATTATGGGTAAGGAAGGAATTGTAAGCTTCCTTTCGCAGTATTTTAAACACACACTGATTTTCGTTTTAACACATTCCAGCTGGAATATCTATCAAAATCAGGAGAACTGGATATTCCTGAAATATGTGAGGACCCTGAAAATGTGCACTATGCTAAAGCCTACCTTGTGAATGCGCAGGAGAAACATGCACATATCAGACAGCTGTATAAACTGCTTATTACCCAGGGAGTGGATATCTTGTCTGCAATGCAGCAACCTGTGAGTAGAACTAGAATGATTTGTGAAATCAAGAATAAATGTGAAAGAAGATTATTGGAGCTATCTGACTGACTTTTAGATGTACAAAAATGTGTTAATACTCTGAGAAAAATAAATACAGAGCTTTAAGATCCTTTTAAAAGAAAGCAAAACATAAAATGTAAAATAGTTGATAGTTTTTAGATTTCTACTTTTAGAGTTTGCAGATATATACAGCCATCAAATTAAATGAAACACCCAGGAATTATGAAACTTATTCTTCAGTAGTTACATTATGAATTGCTTTTGCCAAGAGAAAAGAAAAATTAATTTCTTTGAAATCATTTTTTAATTTTTAATGGTCTGTGAACAGATCTTACTCTGGAAAACATTGAAATAGATTTGAAATAGGGAGGAAATTAATCTTAAAATATCAGCGCTTGGAAAAAAAAAGCACAACTTTCTGTTCTCTAGTATTCTTTGTGCAGTTCAAGGCCCTGTTGGTGATTTTCTTGAATGCCACATCTATATATTAGACTCCTGCTACTTTGTAAAGGTTGCTTTGCATATTTATTCTCCTATAAAGAAAGGATAACAAAAGAACAAAAAGGAAATATAACAACAGTGTTACCTTATTAGTGGATTCCAGACTGATTTGCATGGCAAAATGGATATAATTTTAGAAAGGAGTTATTTATTCAGGGCAGGATTGTCATTACCCTGTATTCATTTACTAGGGAGAAAGCAAGACATTCCCTTATGACCTGCCTAGATTATCCACATTGCCAGTCTGCTCTTCAGACTCCATAAATTGATTGACAGCAGAAAGGAGTTAATCTCGGGGTGGTAAAGGACTAGAGTAGGCCACTTCATCTTTGCTCAGAGAAGACACCATGTGTGAGTTGTGACTTTGACCCAAAACTGCTCCTCAGACTACTAGTGATTGAAACTGCTATGTACTTGCTCTCGTTACAGTGGAGGTTTAGTAGTTTACTCTAGCCCATTGTGACTGACATGTTCTGCCTCAAAATGATCTTCATTTTAGATTGGTTAAATCAATACATTTCCTGAGTTTGACAAGTTTCTTTGTCTATTCCCTGTTTAGAATTGCTTGAATGTTTCTGTAAAGAATCTGAAGCAAGAACTTGCTAGATTTGAGTATGATAACATTAACTGGAGCTCCAAAGCCGATAAATATGAGGAAGAACTGTCACAGCATTTCCAACACTGCACCACTCAAGAGGAGATAAATGAGGTAAATGAGATAAATCCCAACACATTAAATGACTGTTAAAATTCTTTAATGTTACTATTTACCATTCCCCTAGATGTTTCATATGTATACAGAAAAATTGATTTTCATCTTACCAGCAACCTTTGATCCATGCAGCAGCAATAATAATCTATGGTCCATACCTCTGCAGTTTAGGATTATATCAAGTTGTTGGGCTGGCAATAAAGTGCTTTCACTGTACCAAGAGGACTGGAAATAGAGCAGCTATATTTTCTTTGGCTTTCAAATCTCTCAGTTTCATCTGAAATACCTGAGTCTTCAGATTTCTTTCTTATGAAGCTAAAGTTTCAAACAAAAGTAGAATTTACATATATTGCAGTTGTAATGCTATTAGAAAGAACTTTCAGTCTTTTAATGAAAAGTTCAGCATAATTTAGTACTTAACACTTTTTTTCGGAAACCCAAGATGTGATACTTAAAAAATTCCTGGAAGAAAAGAAAATGTTTTTTGGTACACAATATAAGAATTTAGTATTATGGAACTTAGGTTAGGAAAAATTACTTAGTTAATATGATTATTAATTTAATATCTTAGTAGGCCAAATACAAATCCACTCACAACTTAACAGGTTGAATTGGATAGATGTCTCAGCAAAAATTAATTTAGGAAAAACGTTCCACAGAATGAATTTTCTCAGAGTGATCCATTAAAATAAGAGGCTGATGGCCTCTACACTTGATGTTCTGTAGGTTGCACTTCTGTACATCCATGAAGTACAGAAGCTGGATTCTTACCTGGAAGGATTTCACACTAATGTTCCCCATAGTGTGAAGTATGGGTAGTGGAAACACAGGACACTGAAAGCTATATTTTTTTATTTTATCTTTCTCTAAGTAAATCACACCTGAATAAAGAAAGATTGCATTTTCTCAAAATACCAGAGTAGAGGTGACTGAGATTTCTGTCCCAACTATTTTTAATGAGAAAATTATTGTTTGGATTTTCTTTTCTTTTACAAAATATTTTTGTGTGTTTGTGAAAAGCATCCATTTTCACAAAAAGATACTTAGAAATTGAAAGAACATGTGCCTCAAAAAAAGGGTTTTTTTGAATCTCAGTTACAGTTCTAGTCCCTTGTCAGTTATAAGCTCAGTGTGTTTCACTCTCTGCTCTCTGCACCAGCTTCCTGTGATATAACTTCTTGGCCGATGGTAGGAGGCAACAGGAACAGCAGGTGGTATAGGAGAAGCATTCTGGCAGACGGAACCATGCCGTAGAAGAGAATGAAAGCATGAAGTAAAAGGAGGGGACCCAGAAGATGGGGGGGAATGGACACAGGTCCCTGCTCGGCGTGCCAGGCAAACCCCCACCCAGCCTCCCTCACCTCAACCTTACCAG